CCCCCTTACCCCAAAAGTCACCCCTCCCGTCTTTCCCCCCCCCCCCTTGCCGGGGTCTGCATTTATTATTTTTTAAGACAGCGGGCTGAGGTGCATAAAGCAGCGTAGCCCTGCAGCCGGCTGCAGCTTGGGGGCTTTGGCTCGTTTCTGGTGCTGTTTGCCGGCGCAGCGCTTGCGTTTCGGTCCACGGAGCCTGTTTTCGCTCATTGAATGACACGGTTTGGGGATAAAAGTGTAAATTGTCAGCACCCAGAGCACCTCGGGGCATTTATGAGTGGGAGCGGTGGACCATCTTGAGGCTAGCAAGCCCCCGCTCAGCACGCCTTCTCACCCACGCCGCCAGCCCGGCGCTCGCTGCTCCTGGAAATCGGATGCAGAGCCTGCCCCTGCAGCTCCCCGAGCCGGGAGCAGCCCCGAAACGGCCCTGCCGCTCCAGCTTTCCGTCTCCATTGAAATCTCAGCTCTAGACAACTGATTTCCATTTTCCCCCGTACTTTTAGTTCAATCAAAGCGTGTGATTAGGGCTCTGCGGGCTCCATTGTCATCTCTACCTAAGTGCTTCTCTGATTGATATAAACAGCATTTCGATATTTACACTGTGGAACGTATTGCTCTGCTTACTTTCCTGGATAATGCACGAAATCTGCCACTACAGGGAGGAAAAATAACAAAAAAAAAATAAACCAAACCCAAAAGAAGTCCCTGCAGAAAGCTGCCAGGAGGGGAGAAGCCCTCCCTGACGGGACGGGACTGTGCCCCATCAGCCTAAGGAGGAGCACCTTGGCCTCGTCCCATCACCTGGGCAAGCAGCAGCAGCTGGGGAAGTTACAAAGGGCAGAGGGTCGGGTGTCTCGGCACCCGCAGCATCGCAAGGTGCCTGCGGTTTGGGCTCTGCATGGCGTCTGCTGCGAGCACGGCCGGTGCCGGTGCCCGGGAGCCGGTTTGAAAGCGGCTAGCTTGTGCCTTGGGTGCAGGATCAGCCCCAGGCTCGACACCTGGGTTTAAGCCTCAGCAGCCCCAGGGCTGGTCCTGGGCTCTGCAGCCGGCAGCGCCGGAGCCCCCCAGCCTGCTCCAGCCCACCCCCGGTACCCTTCCCAGCCTCCTGCTGTGTCCTCGTCCCCGGGAGAGAGGTAAGCGAGACACCCGGGCGCCGTCGCGTGGCACGCCGCTGAGCTGGGGTGCCTGGGGAAGGGAGGTGCGCTTTGAGGGTGGGAACAAAAGCACCCTTTTCTCTTTTTTTTTTATGTGCTCTTTACGGGACTGAGCTTTAGATGCTCCCAGCCTCCATATTTGCAGGAATCCATCCAAAGAAAGCATCCGAGGAGCAAATATTTCTCGTCTCAGGTACTTTTTGGAGAAGGGAGCAACTGTTCTTTTGTTGAGAACGCTGGCTATCTGAAAAACGTGGAGGCAATTGTGCTTTTAAAGGCCAAAACGCGCTTATTTTCTGCAACGCAACGGCTCCTCAGGGGCTTTTTGCAGGCTCCACCGCTTTCTCTCGCAGGCCTCGTTAGGCTTCCCCGGGGTGGAAGGTGCCGGGGTGGGCCTCCGTGCAGCAGGAGGGCAGATCTGGGGAGACGGTGTGGTAGTAATACAGAGGTTCCTTAAGGGTACCCGCCGGGCTCGCGGCGCTTTTGATGGAGCTGGTTGGAAGCGTGGTGGTCGGTTGTTTCGGCGGTTGTGGAAAACATTTCGGGTTTTCTTCCTGTAGTTTACTTGGTCAAAAGTAGTACGCTTCGAGTTTCCCGACGGACGTTGAGGAATAACCCTCCCCCCCCACTGCCGTGCCTTTCCCTCTGCCCCCTTCCTCCCGGGGGCGGACGCAAGCGCAGGTGCTCGGCTGATTTTCTCTGTTGCATGCGCATCGATATGATCTTAGTTAAATTACTTATAATTAATAAACGGGCGCGCTGCTGGGATCTTGCCCCAGGTCTCGCCCCGTGGCTTTTGCTCCCCCAGAGGCTCCTGCCCGCGGTGGGGAGCGGGAGCAGCCGGGGCCGGGCGGCACAGCGCCGGGAACAAAAGAGGCCTCTTCCTCCGCGTGGTGCAGAGGATCCCGAACAAAAGGTTCACGTTCCCCTGCGCTCTTCTCTTTTTTTCCCCCCCTCTCGCTCTCCTTTCTTTTCTCCTGCTCTTCGATGGAGATTTAAGCAGTTCTTTTTCTGGCTTAAATTTCTCCGTGCTGCAACAAGAAACTAGCAATTAACTATTA